CATACTAGAGTATACAATATAGTGAGAAGAACTCATCTGGGTTGAGTATGTGACTCGAAGTTAGGGAAACACTATGCCTTCACACTTTACAAAGACCTAAATGCATAACACTAAGTCTTAGCCTAGATTCATAATCTTGGTGACTATAATTATAGTCTAGATTCCTCAATAATCTCGATATCTACATTCAGATTTATCGAGTAAGGAATAACCAGGTAGGATCATATCGAAGGTAGGGTACGTTTGGTATGCAAAGTATACTGTTTGGAAATTCCACTTTAAACACCTCACTAAATCCAGCCTAGACATCACTCCCGTAAGTAGATCAATCAGTATACTAACTTGGAATCACTGATAAATCTTAATTGTAGGTTCATAATAACGACTATGACTATAATTAAAAGTTACACTTAAATAAAATAAATGTAGCTTAAGTTACAGAGAATCTAGAAAAAATCGGGTAAGTACGCGGACAGAACTCCGACCCAAATACTCCTTCTTGTCGGAATCCTAGATACGATAGAGTCCTACTAAAAATACTCAGGAACCCGGAAAATTCGGATCTTAAGAAGGGAAAACGTTTGAGAGAGAAAGATTGAAAAGTGGTGAGGGAAATGAAGGAATTCGCAGCAATTTATAGGTCTGGAAGGAAGGGGGCACCCTTGGTAGGAAAAGGGTGACGTGACTGTTTTCTAGTGGTAACACATGTCGCGATTCGGATGGGAGTGTCAGGCGCGCCGCACATCTAGTCTGTGCGCGCGGCTGCGCGCTAGGATTTCTGATTTCTTAAAAATTTCATAACTTCTTCATATGAGCTCCGTTTTCGACAAGTTTTATATTCATGCGTTGGTATCGACGGCATCTACAACTTTCTTTTAGACTCCGTCAAATAATTCTGACTTTATTAAAGTTATATTTTTAACAGACTTAGATTATTTAAGTCCGTTAAAATTTTATAATCTCTCGTCCGACGTCCGTTCTCGACTGTCTTTATATCAATGGAGTCCTATTAACGAGATCTTCAACTCTTGTTTAGATTGTTTCTCCTAACAATCAACCGATCTTAAATCCGGTTTCTGTGATGCACACTGTTACGCTCAAACTGCTAAAAATAATAACTTCCTCAATTGAAGTCAGATTTAGACGTTCTCTATATGTATGCTCTCGGTTTTGCGACTACTATGACTTTCGTTTAAATTTCTTAGGATAATAACTAACCTATCTAAAATTCACTTTTTTACATTACTGTAATGTTCGATTTTCCGGTATGAATTTAATTCCAAGTTGTTTATGTTTTCTCTTTGGGACAACAGCGGGTTGGAGCCTCAACACGACGTGTCGAGATGTATTTGACCGCGGAGTTTAATGAGCCCACACGGCGTGTTGAGGTGCCTCAACACGGCGTGTTGGCAGCTGGGAAGGAAACCCTAATTTTTAGGGTGTTTCACCCTATTTAAAGGCCTTAAGTCCCCTTGACCGGCCTCCTTACCAGCCTCCTTTGTTATCTAAAACCCTAAATCGAGTATTGAGCTTTCTTTGTGGTGTTATTGAAGTTTTTAGTGGATTCTTGTGGATTTTTGTGCTCGTTTGAAGGATCCTTGGAGTTTGAAGGTGCCTAGCTTGGAAGGAAGGTCATGATAGATCCAGAATCTCACCACTTGTGGCAGTCTCCTTGAGGTATCAAGTTCATACCTTGCTTTGTTGGTGATTAGATATTCTCTTATGGGGTTTTGTTATGATTTTTGGCTTATTATTGGGTTGTCTAAGGAGTTAAGTTATTTCATGGGTTGTCTTGTTAGATCTGGGCATTTTGTGGCCTCCTTTGGCTTAAAGGTGCAAGCTTTATAAGAATCTAGGTTTCATACATTCACTAAGTCCTTTATTAAGCCCTCATTGAGCTTTAGAGCTTCTCTTCGGCATACATGAACGTAAACTTGGCAACTTTACGTGGTCTCCCAGCTCTAAGGTGTCAGATCTACATTTTGGGCCTATGTCTTTGATGATTAAGTGCTTAATGATTAAGCCATCACTCTAATAAGCATGAGGTTTGGGTTTTGGACCCATTTTGGTGGTTCCTAGGGGTAAATTTGGAAACTTTACCCTTCTAGATATCATTTTGGTCGAGATCTGAACTTTGGAGCTCTTAGATTCGGTGAAGGCAACTTAATGTATTAAGTTGTTGGATTTCAACGAACATGACGTGTTGGCTTGGTTTTTCCCGACTATGTAGTGGATGGGGAAACATGGCGTGTTGAAGGACCACACGGCGTGGTGGGTAGACACAGACTGTTGACCTTGACTTTTGACTTTTGACTTTCTGTTTTGGGGTTGAGTAGAGCTGATATTCGAAGCCGGGACCTATTCAGCTATCGTTCAGCATTCGAGGTGAGTTTCCTCTCTAGGTTTGGCGGGTCTAAGGCACCAATGTCGGCCCTTATTGATTATGTTAGGATGCTAGGAGTCTGCGTGACCCTTGCATGTGTTATGTGCTGCTATGTATACCGGGCGGGGCTCGATGCCAAACGAGGCCTGAGGACCAGAACATATGCTAGTGTTTATGACCATTATGTGTGTTAGCATGATTATGTGATATTGATTGTATGTGTATAGCGGGCAAGGCCCAGTGACCGACGAGGCCTGAGAATAACATATATGTATACCGAGCTGGCTCGATGCCGGGACGGGGGCCCACTGTATGATTTAGTATGTATGGTATGGGGTAGCTTGGGGAACTCACTAAGCTTTGTGCTTACAGTTTTCAGTTTATGTTTCAGGTACTTCCAGTTCCAAGGGGAAGAGCTCAGGTTGACTGCATCGCACACACCATTAGGATTTCGCATATAATATTTTACTCTGATTTTTATGACATTTAATACATTGGTTTTGTTGAGATGTATGGATTATATTTGAAAATACTATTTTATCTATTTTAAAAATGAAATTTTTGGGACCATATTTTGGGATGTTACAATTACGTTGAGTTGTATGGGTTTAATCGTGAAACTTCGAAGAAGCATAACTTCTTTATACGAAGTCGAATTTACGCATTCTATATACCTACGAAAATCGTATTGATATTTTCTATATATTTACGATGCTTGTTTTGGCTCAAAAGTAATATATTTATACTTCATATTTCATAATAATTGATTAATATTACAATCTACGGAAGTAGTAAAAATGGGGTGTTAGAATATAGGTGCCACTACTATTTTAGATTTGTTCGGAAAATTTATTTTTTTGTGTCATCACTACTCAAACTTTCTTTGTCCCTATGGTATGCATTTTTTTTGGGTTTCGTCCAAACCTCGATTTGTTTTTTTGACTTCGTGGTCCTTTTGGTCATGTGTCTATGTGGAAATGGTCCATCCGAAAATTAAAATGACTATTATACTTTTTTTATTTTTATTTTTATATTTTTTAATATCTATTTTAATATTTTAATAATTAAAATAATACAAGGACCTCTCTCTCTTCAGCCACACCTAACATTGAAGCTACCACCAAACACCATCATTAGTTTATGTTCTTCGTCTTCTTCCCCCTTTCACCAAAAATCATATCCAGATCTAATGAACACACACTTCCAGATCATAAGAACCCAAAGCAACCCCTTCGTTCACAAACTCACATATCAATTTTGATTTTGTTCTTGAAGAGAGGAAAGAGAAGAAAGAAAGTTCAGATCCACCCAAGAACACCTTTATATAAACATGTTCTTGAAATACACACCCATATGTTTGTTTTCCATAATCAACTTCACACACATATACACCAAATATCGATCAAAATGTGTAGTAGATCCTCTTCCATTAGTAGAAGAGAAACCCACATACATATAACCACTAAATCTCTTCGAAAGAGCGATCGTCTACATGAGAATGGAGTTTTCCGGTTTGGTCCGGGTGTACCTGACCCAAATCTGGATGATCTTTTATGGGTTTCTGTACTCAATCAAAGATGTTATCTGTTTCCACTCTTCAAATTAGTCTCGTTATTCATTAAATGAACCAAAAAGATACAGAAACAATGGAATCCAAATCAACCCTAACATGATTGTCGTTAATATCGTTAAGACTTGGTCAAAATTGGTATCGAATTCCACTGCCAAAAACGAAGAATCAAGTGTTTTTAGATTGATTGAGGTTTAATGGCGAAGTAGAAGGTGAAGAAGATGAAGTGAAATAAGAGCTTAATAATCATATTATTATGGAATCAAGGAGATGCGGCGAATAAGGAGGGAGAAAAAAATTGATGATGCAAAAAGTATGAAATATAGGAATATTAACAGAAATACATGGGCGTCAGCAAGATGATCTTCGAGTCGCAACAAAAAGACTTGTAGATTAATTTTTCAAAATCAATTTTGCAGACGACCAACAAGGGGAAGGTTGATGTGGAAACTTGCAACAAGAATTTGGAGAGAGAGAGAGAGCTCTTTTATTGTTTTAATTATTAAAATATTAAAATAGATATTAAAAATGTAAAAAAATAAAAATAAAAGGATATAACAGTCATTTTAATTTTCAGAGAGACTATTTTCAGATAGAAACATGACCTAAAAGACCATGAAGCAAAAAAAATCCAGATTTGAACGAAAATCCAGAAAAAATGAATATGAGGACATTTTTGCATTTTTGTGTCTAAAATATATCTAAACAACATGAAAGCCGATATATCTATATCCAATAAGTAGAAAAGTCAAAAGAAAATTATATCTTCGTCTTTATATGAGTATCAGAAAAGTCACTTCATGCACCATTCCTTCTTTGTAATTATGACTATTATATTCCGTTTGTGTTCATGCATAAACACAAGCTTTAGTATATCTTTCTAAAATATGAACAAGAATGTATGTTGTATGAAATAAACAGATGCTTAACTAAAGCATGAGTTGTGTGTATTAAAAAGTAGATGCATCTTTAATTTGTTAAGGATGTCAACCCGTTAGATTGGGATTGGCTATCAATGTACAAGTATAGAATCAGATAATCTTGAATCTATAAGCCTTGAGATCTAAGCTTGTTTAAAAGTGCAGTTACAAGAGCATCTCGCTTCTGCGCTCTATCTTCCTCTCTCATGCTTCTTTGCTCTTCTCTTTCCCTCCATCTCTCATACAACATTGTTCTCTCCTTGCCTAATGCTTCCATTGTCTGCCTCCACTCCAGCTCCTTCATCCTCCTCTCTTCTTCTTTTGCCTTATACCATTCCATCCATTGCATTTCATGTTTCATATACTCTTCGAATATCTCCTTTAAGTTACTAATCACGTTGCTGCAGCTTGTATCTTCAGGGTTACATTGGCTACTACTCACTATACCCTTCTTCTTCTTTGTGATCTTACTTCCACTTGCCTTCTCCATATCACTGTCATCATTGTCCGAAGCAAACTTCATCTCTCTTTTCCTGGATCCACTTGCAACACCTTCTGCTTCCATCCAGAGTAGCCTTTGCATGCGATTTGCGAAGATCGTTTGTAACTCATCGTAGAATGGGAACTGTTGCCTCGTACCTTCTTGTTCCATCGTCTCATATCCCTGGTTCAATTCCAAGAAAACATGAAACATATTTCTAAAAGAAAAGATAGAAATAATTATGACAAACCTTGTAACGGGTAACAAGATTCTTCCACTTGCTTTTACATTGCTCGCCACTGCGATTATAACCCCTCTCCTTCATCTTTGTAGAGATAACTTCCCATAGAAGCTTGTTACGCTTTGTCTCCATGAACTTTGAGTCCAGTTCTGCCCTAACCATCAATAACTCCCTTGTTTCTTGTACACTCCATTGCGGAAATCTGTCAGCAGCAGCACCACCACCAGTATCAAGTACTCCTTCGCTGATAAGAAGGTGGCCAGGGTCCATATACATATCAAACAGATGAGTTTCTTGAAATATTTGCCACGGGAGATGATCATAGCATATATTCTTGATGAATTGGAGTCTTGTGAAGGTTTGAATGAGAGAAAAGAAAGATATATATAATGTTTTGCTGTGTGAATTCAAAGTGTGAAATGGTCAAAGTTTTGAGAAAGTCAAAAGAAAAAAGAACGATTCTTAATGTACTTACACGACAATGAAAGCATGCAAGTAATTTGTTGGTTGTGACCGAATAAAAGTTGGTCATCAGTAGGATGCAGTATAGTGTTGGTTATGACCGAGTAAAATATATGTAAAAACTCAGTTAGATGATTATGTCTTTATATTGCTTACAGTTACTTCTCGTTAAAAAAATTAAATACCAAATTTTAAAAACTCCCTTTTTTTTTTTTTTTAACGACAAATACAATATATTCCTAAAAACTCCCTTCTCGTTAAAAAAATCCATCTTTGGTTTTAACTATGGCAAAACATCCCGCAGCCCCCTCAGGAGTGTTTGTTATGATGATTATGTCTTTATATATTTTTTTGATTTATATTTATATATAAAAACATGTTTTCCAAGGTTACCCATTTTGTAGAAAACAATGCTTGGACAACATGAAAACGTTATATATTAATATCAACAATAAAATTTTGTATTTATTATCGGAGTTATTATAAAGATCTGATATGATTTATTATTAATAGGCTTTGTATTTTTTTGTATATTTTGTTAATATTTAAAACTTATACAATGAGAAATTAAACATCACCAGTTCAATCACTATAAACATAACTAAGCAGGTAGATGAATAAGATGGTAAAAATATACTACGTCTTTTTGTATTTTGCTCGGATGCAAAACTAAACAACCGATTTTTGTTAATAAGCCAGGCATTATTAGTTTAATCAATAAAACAATACTTATAAAATTCTTAAGATAATAAAACTGCCGTGTGTTTGTCCCTAAAATAATAGAAAAGGGAGCTGATAATTCCACGGATGTTATTGATACATCCACTGATTTTTCAAAGAAAATGACAATTATGTCCCTGGTTCTATTTAAATTTTAATTGATTATTCACAAACATATTTTTAGTAAATTTAGTAAAACCATTATACCAAAAGAGAAACGAGGTTTCCAGGAATACACTCCACAAGAATCCCGTCCTCCGCCGTCATCACTTTCACCTTAATCTGCTCTTAAAGGGAAAACCACCCTGCATAATTAACCAGAAGGAATTCATTTTGCAAGTGAAGAAGGAAATAAATTCTGCAGCGACATTCCCACATTTATCCCAATTCCTATAGCACCACTCACCAACGGATTAAATCGGCTTCTGATGGGTATGCCAAAGCGAAATAAGTTATGCGAACCAAAGATTCAGGTCTGAGTTGGCTTTAGGTTTAGAACTGAGTATTAAACACGGTGTTCCGATGATTGGGTGACCGCTATATACGAAGCAGAGGATGAATGTGACGGTATCAAGCAATGAGATAGGGGTGGCAGTGAAGTTGCTGGTGGCGGAGAAAGAAGGAGAGACGGTGGTGGTGGTGGTGGAGATATCGAGAAAGAAGATATAGCAGGTGGTTAGCGTGGTTATGGAAGATGAGGAGGAGGCCAAAAGAATTGAATAATTGGATGTTTAAAGAATCTGAATGAGGTTTAACGATTAATTAATTACAAAGGGGCACAATTGTCATTTTGTTTTAAAATCCGTGGAAGTATCGATTACAATCCTTGGAATTATCACCTCCCAATAGAAAAACATTACCAAGCCGTAGAAATCATTTGAAAACCATCATCAAGTAAAGTTCTTTCCTTTTCCGTACGCATCTTTGACCAGTTTTTCCATAAGATTACTTAAATTAAAGGTTATAGTTAACCATTTGGACAATTTGTCTTTTATTTTGCTAAAGTCAAATGTGGGACCCATTACAGATCTCGGTTGACTAAAACAATAGAGAAGAGGTTTGTGCTTTTACCAACGTAACCTGTGTGTGATCAATAAATATCAAAAGTCAGCTGGTTTGACTAATGTATGGAGTGATATTAATGGCATTCTCCAACAATACAGTATTTGGGTATAGAAGTAAAGAACAGCAATTACGGTGTTTCTTTCATATATATATATATATATATATATATATATATATATATATATATATATATATATATATATATTATATATTATATATATATATGGGGAAAAGTTCAATAGAGAAATCATAATTATTGGTTCTTCAAGGAACCAAATCTTTTTTTCAATTTCTATAGCTTACTTTTTATCGAAAAAAAAATCTAAAAATATCTAAAGTCATATATTAACATTGTGAATGTGAAAAATATTTTTCGGATTCACCGTGTGAATCTGGATTCACATTATGAATTTGACGTAAAAAAAAACGAATTTGATATCATTGGAAAAATGATAAAAAGTTATGAATTTCTGTATTTTTAGTTTTTTTTTGATAAAAAATAAGTTCTAAAAGTTGAAAAAAAGATTGGTTCTTTCGTTCCTTGGTTAATTATGGTTCTCTATTGAACCTCACCCTATATATATATATATATATATATATATATATATATATATATATATATATATATATATATATATATATATATATATATAAAAGGAACGGTTCAAATGAGAACCACAAAAGATTAAAAACTCAAAGAACTCATATTTAATGAATAAATATGTATTGTGAATACTTATTAAATATGTTAAAAATCATGATATTTTTCTTTTTGGTAAGAAAATGCCAAAATCTTAATTTTTATAGACTAAAATTTTCATTTATACACTCATTCTTATTTTAACACACAGATTATATAAAATACAACATAATACAGTCCATTTATAGTTTATATACAAAAATCACAACTTAATACAATCTATTTTACACTAATTCACGTATTCAGAAAAGTTAAACCAAACTCTATTACCGCCACCATATGTTGCCATCAACCATCTATGACACCATTGCAGTCACCATTAATTCAAAATCATATATCTGTATATAAAGTCATGCATTTACAACTTAAATACTTTATTCACGGTTTAATAAACATATTAATTCATTCAATTTGAATTTAATGCATAATAATTATCTAAAAACTAATACATTTTTACATACTTATACAACAAACAATATATATATTCACAAAAAAAATTAATAGAAAAATTTATACACAAATCATTAATATTTTAACACAAAATATATCAAAAATTCACAACTTAACACAGCTAATTCACAATTTAATGCAGTAAATTACAATTTAATACACAAAATTCATAACTTAATATAACAAATTCATAATTTAATACACACAAAAGTTATATGATCGTAACTTAAAACTTATATTTATAACTTCAGATAAAACATTCACAGTTTAATATAATAAATTCATAGTTTTATACACAAAATTATATATTCACATCCATATTCTAAACTTAAGACTTATATTTTCACGTTCATATCTGGAGGCATTTATGTGTATTAAAATGTGAAGTTATTATATTAAGTTGTGAATAAAATTCAAAACTTATTATACAAAATTCATAGTTTAATACACTACATTCACAACTTATTTACATGTACAAAATTCACTGTTGCAGCCACTATTCATAGAAAATCATATATGCATATAAAGTCATGCATTTATAGCTTAAATAGTATATTCACAGTTCAATAGACATATTAATTCAATCAGTTTGAATTTTATACATAACAATTATCTAAAAACTAATATATTCTTACATACTTATACAACCACTACTAGAAAAACAGCCTTTTACGACGCGCAATATGTGTCGTAAAACGCTCAGACGACACACAAATGAGTGTCAAGGAAGGCCCTATCATAACGAGACACGACACGCTTTTGCGCGTCGTCTATAGACGATGCGCATTTACGACGCGCATTTATGACACGCAATACGTATAATTAAAACCCCTGTCAAGAAAGACCATGTCATAAATGAAGATGACATACATTTTTGCGTATCGTAAATTTAATTTGCATTTAATGTCTCATAATAGAAATAAAATACCATATACAAAAAATACAATCCATTGCATAAAATTTAATGTCATACAATTTTATTTCTTACAATATATAAATTTACATTCATCTAATCTACTCCGTGTTTCATACACAAAAATCTATTTCATGCGGCTTCTTCCATTTCCTTTATTAGCAGCTTCCATCATTAGTAGTACAACTAAAAATTGAAATGAAGAATGCAACACTTGTATATCTCCAAAAAACTTGAAAAAAAAGAACAAAGATTTAATGTTTATATATAGCAAGAACATATTGAATGCATAAAATAACAAGAGCTAATAGGAAGTCATTTTCTATTCCCTTCTCAGTATGTGAGATTGGGGCTGTTGATTGCAACAATTAAGCATATGCTTATGATGAAAGTAGATACCATTTTCACAAAAGAGTTGTCTTTATCCAATAAATTGTTAACATGTCTCAATGGTTAATTTGAAAGAAAAATCTTTATGAAGAAACTGTCTATTGATTAATTTTCTACCCTAAAGTTCAAAATTACATTTCTACCCTAAAGTTCAAATCTAAAAATAAAATAATTCAAAATTACATTTCTCCAATAGGTCCTGTTTTTGTTAGGAAGTTGCAGACATTACCTTTCCACAAGTTGCAGTAAAGGCAAACATGGAGGAGCAGAGGAAACCCCTATGGAACTCATCTGCATTTTGTGTAGAGGTGAATCCAGGCAGCAAATGCAAATCAGCACCACTTTCTGCTTCTGTTGCAAGCAGTAATATGGAGCGCGACCCAAGACAAATGAGGCATTCATCACCTTTAGTATCCAGACGCAACTCAGGACCAATTCATCCATCAAACACACAATCAGCACTCAGCAAACCCACTCCACTACCCTCTCCAACAGCAAGTCAAATTAAGCATCATCCAAGTGTTAGTGCCAAAAAAATCAAAAGATATTGTTGCTACTTTTTTTTATAAAAGTGGTTGAACTGATTATGATGTATGTCTGGTTAAAGTATTGTATACATAAGAATTGTTTCTTTTCTAGACTGAATAA